AAAATATAGTTTATTTGAACCAGGGATTTAAGAAGTTAGGTTCAAAAGACTAAGACTCTGTTTGGCGCAGCTACAACTGCACTGCCCCCCCCAAGAAGCTGCTGTGAGGAAGCTGCTGCGGAGAAGCTAACTGACTGTTTGGGGCAGGTTTGTGAAAACAGCTGTGGGGCTGCTGTTACTGGAAAAATGACAATTCTGTCCATGTTTTGTAATGTTGTGCTTAATTGAACTGTGATAACCATAAATTTAATAGTTCTAAGGCAAAAATTCACTTAAAACAGTACATAATTACTAATACACGCCTCACTTCACAGTGAGTATCAAAAGTGCAAAAAAAAAGTCTAAAACTATTAAAATGTTTATTAATAACATAATTATAGACAGAGCATAAGTTGAAGAAATGCAAGCATTCATTTACAAAGCTACACATATTATAAGAGAACAAATAGACATGTAACAAAGATCCAATTAACTGAAGTTTCCCAATTTATTGAAGTATCCAACATCAAACAAAATCAGGTATAGTTCTCATCACCATTGCACATAAATAGTAAGCTTATAAGAACAACTGCCATGAATCGTTTAGCGAAGAAAAGCTCAAAAGACATCATTCCCTTCCAATGTTATAAGCAGTTCAAAAATGGCTTTGAGTGCTTGGCATGTGTTTAAATCTCCCTAGCCAATATCTAAAGCTCGAACCCAGCTCTGTGTTGCATTCTTTCTCATTCGACTTGCATCCAATCTCTGCCTCAACTCACCCTTGTTTTCCAACCGCATGAACTCTTGCTACATCTACAAACGATATGTGATAGATTAGGTAGCGAAGCAGGAATTTTTACTTAAAAGAAATCTGTTCATTACATGCATACCATCCAGTTCCTATGTATTTACATATCAAACACATACACTTTGCTTTTAACATTTATAACACCAAAAATTTTCATATTATATAAAAATACCACTTTTTTAACTTTCCAAAAGTAAATACAACTTCTCTTGCATATGTAAGGTGGAAAATATGTAAAAAAATAAAATATTGGTGTGTTAGATATGTAAATAGACAAGGATTGAGTGGTTTGTATGAAAATCTTCCTATTTTTTTATCAACAAACAATCAACATTAGACTTCTGCTTTACCTTTCGTGGGAAGTCCAGTAGATGGAACATTTTATAACAAATGGAGAGAAAGACATTTTATCAGCTAATTTTCTTTTGTGGCTCGTCAAACTACGGTTGCCAGGCTGCGGCCCGCGGTCAGTCGCTAGGCTGTCGGTCTTCATGCTACGGTCTCTAGGATGCAATCAGTCGCAGGCTGTTGGTCACTAGGCTATGGTCGTCTTATCTGAATTGTTAGATTGCCTCAAGATCTATGCATAATATATTTGGGCGTAAATTTTAAGTTCACTGATTTTCTTGCTCTTTGCTAGCAACAACTGCTATGAGGATAAGAAAATTTATAAAGAAAAAACATGATTATATGAATAACTGATGGTACTATCTATTTAGGCACTCTTTGCGCTCCGTTATTGCCAAAATTTGTTACTGTGGTGATTTGCAAATTAACCTTTGCGGAGCTTGTTTCTACTGGGCAGGGAACCACTTTTAGAACTTTATCTGTGTCGAGTTTGTTGACAGATGTTTCTTATGCTTAGCATTGAGAGTAGATTGTGAGACCAACTGGACAATCTTGGCATCACAATCAATAGTTTTTGCTTAATCGGGTGGCTTAAGGGATCAGCCAGACAGTCTTGGCATCTCACCAATTTGTTTTTGTTTGACCGGAGGACTTGTGTCATGACCGATATACATCTAAAGCATTGAAGTTGGGTTCTGATCATCGCGACTTTAAAGAGACGGAGAAAGAAAGAGCGCCTCGCCCGTTGCTTCAAGCGACGGTGGAGGAGAGTGGGAGTGAAGCGAACTTACCTTGATTTGGAAGAAGGGGAGGCTCGGTGCTTCAAGCGGCAGTGGAAGAAGGCGCTGGGAGCAGGGGGCTTCACGTGGGGGCTTGATGCTTCGAACGGGATTGTCGATTCGCGATGCGTTCGGGAGCAGGGGCTTCACGAGTCGAGACGCTAGAACCTCGTTCAGCTTCGCTAGGGTAGCGACGGTTTCACGGGGCAAAGATTGGAATTTCTGGATTGGTAACGCGGGCCGTAGGGTCTATCCGGCGGCCTGACGTTCTGTTATATTCGCGGCCAGTGGCCGCGAATGCTTAAATCAAATGACGATAAATTCCAACGCGTCGCGGTTTGGAGCCGCTCCGCATGAAAAAAGCGGCCCCAAACGAATCTTAAGTGTTTTGTAAGGAGAAGGAAAGAGATAAGTGGAGGTAATTTATATTTTTATTTATACTTCTATTTGGATAACATTAAGTAGATAAAATTTTTTGGGTAATTGATACACAAACAGTTAATTCAAGGATATATTTAAAGTGAAGGGTTCTTAATTAAAGTATGCACTTTCAATTAATATAGGTGGTTGTCCAAATAAGTGAAGGACTAAGTATTTTCAAAGGTTTTCTAAGTTAATGTAATTATTTTCTTATACGTATTAAATTTAAAGTTTCTTAAATGAAGAATTTAATACTTTATACAATCATTTTTTGTTTGTATGCATGTCGTAACTTAAGAATGAAATGAGAAATGAGAGGGGAAAGGTAAAAATATTGCTTAATGTTTTTGAAAAAGGAAATAATTTAAATGAAAGATAATCAAATTTAAAGATTTAAGTCATACAGGATTTTCCCCTGATGATACTGGCAGGAGATGCAATGTATTTGTGCACGTTAAAAGAAATGGTAAAGGTGCACCTTCAGGTGCAAATTTAGGATACCTTCAAGTACATTTTTGACGGTGTTTTCGGACATATTTTGAGGTTGCCTTTGGACATATTTTTGAGGATTCCTTCGGGTATGATGACAATCTTGTTATGACTTGTAAAAGGGTTAAAAACGGTAATTACTTAAATTGGAATGAAAATGACTAAAGTTACAATTTTAATGAAATTTATTGTATTTTCCTTTGGTCATTCATTCATAACATGAAATTTAATATATACTAGATTATAATTACTCACTAAGTTGTATTTACAGTTACAGTTAATGTTTTCTTTCAGGAGAAGAAAACTTTAAGAGATATGTCTGATAGGAGAGACTTTATTTACCAGAGGATGACCACCAGTGCTAGGTATATTTCTTATGAGGATAGTTTCTCTTTATTATTTATTGAAGACATTGATATACTGTTTGATACTGGCTTGAGATGCTATTTTTGAACTTTATTGTTTTTGAATGCTTTAGATTTTCTTACTTTGTGGCTTAGTGGCTATTTTATATGTATTGAAAGTAAAAAAAAATGAGGATAGTTAGATGTTAATACTGCATGACTGCTATTTTTGCCTTAGTTAATTCTAAGCACCAGATTGAGTCGTGACAGTGGGGTGCTCCGACCACTCCAGTTAGGCTCCACATAACATTTTTGTGGAGGCGTCATATCTGGTTACGTGAATTTTTGTTTTATGAGGGGAGGGGGGATAAATATCTAAAGATTTAGGGTTTTCTGAGCTCTAAAATAAAATGACCTCATTGTAGGGTTCCATTAAGTTTTTAAAGGATTGGATTCAGTGGTGATAAATTAGCAATATAAAGGGAATCTGTGAGATCGATGAAATTTGGAAGGGATAGAAAAAATTTGGTGGCTATTCGAATTAAAAACTATGGAGAGAATCACGAGCTGAATGTTCTGATGAGGCGTCGCTGTCGAGAGAAATTCATCACCTTTTCTTGAACGAGCTACATATATATCACTTGCAAAAGAAGCATGCAACACTTATGACATAAAAAATCAGAGAATACAATCTCTGAATGCATAAATAGAAGTCAAAAGTCCTCAAACCAAGTTTTAAGTAGCATAACTATACCAAGGCATCAACTAAACCATGATTCTAATTAAAAAAAAAGGAAATAGAGCCCACAAGGGCCGGTGGCCACAACAGGTGGATTGATGCTAAACTCCTCATGGAATGGGAAATCTCATTCCACATTTGATTTTGCGTGCGTGGGAGATTGCAAGATCTCATTCCCGCATTAGCTGTAGTGATGATCGAGTTACCTCTTTTTTTGAATAGTGAGGTAAGTTCATGGGTTTAAATCAGTGGAACAACGACGTTGCAATTCCAAGAATAACTTTGTGTAGGGTTGTGGATTTAAATCAGTGGAATAACATCTTTGCAATTCCAAGAATAAAATTGTGTAGGGTTGTAAATGAGCAGAATTTAAGCGAACTTAGTGCTTGTTCATGTTCAGTTCATTCAAAATTTTCTTTCTTCGAAATTGGTTTGTATTTGAAGTGGCTCATGAATATTATATTTGTTTTCATTTCAATTCAAATTTGTTTGTTCGTTTGTGGCTCATGTTTGACTCAAATTTAGTTTACCATTTTTTAAATAAAATTAAAAAAAATAATTTGAAAAAAATTTAGTAAACATTATTTATTAAATTTTTTTAATAAATTCGAGTCAAAATGAGTCGAATATTATTGAGCACAAGTCTATTTGTGTTTGGCTTGTTTATAAATCGAGCTTAAAATAACTATTCATGTTTGACTCGTTTGCTTAAGAATGAATCAAGCACGAGGAATAACGAGCTTTACACAAGCTGTTTGTGAACGATGAGTGTTTTTGACAGCCCAAGTGTGTTTACCCCAACCTCTCTGCAATCCATTGGTGGGAAATCAAATGGTTCACTTTTTGCCACAAAATTTTAAATAAACATAGAAATTAATGGAGCTGGTCTTAACAAGAAAATTGTGTAGAGTAATGTCATACTGTAATAGAAAGCAAGGCAGTCAAGCAATTAGTCTGTCTCTTAGTTTTATTAAAATAACTTTTCACGGATACGACTTCTCAAGGGCATCACAGCTTTCATTGAAAGGCAGTTGTCATGTTCTCTTTAAACTGCTTAGCTTACCCAGTAAATTTCTAATTTCGCTTGCATTCAGGTATGAAAGAAGATTTTCAGAACTTTATGCCCAAATTCAGGTATTGATCTTTTGAAAATTTTTTAGCTGAAGATTCAGTGAAACTGAACGTCATCATTATTTATCTTTATTCATATGTAGAAAAAGCATCATCTTACTCGTAGACACTATGCCACTTACAATGCTCTGGTGGAAATAAAAGAACTAATGTTAAAAGAAGCGTCTCTTTTGAACTCTGTTAATTTACAGGTACGCATTGAATATCAACCTGCTATTCTTAATGATATGCAATATGCATGTTTCAATCAGTGAAATCCAAGAGCTGAAATTAATTTTGCAATCATGAGTAAAAGAAAACGCAGGTAATGTAAATAACATTTTGAGCAATTTTTATGTGGTTTGGCCGTACTTGGCCTACATTCACACCTTATCTCCACTTAGGTTAGGATTCCACTATCTACTCGCTACCTCAAGGTCAACTCTTTCATTCCTCTAGCCGGTGGAGAAACTCTCACTCACTATGGATGAGTGCTAATGTGGTATGCATTGTTTACAAGACAAAATTTCTCTAAGCGTTGATACACTTGATATGTAAAATTTAATAACAAAGAAAATAAAATTTCTACAGATTTTGAAAACAATGATCTAAAATGCTAATAAGAACAAAATTTAAAACTACAATGATATCACAAACTTTTGATTGTTGCAGAACACTGAAATTTTGCAAATCTGGAATACCTTTGCTCAAAATTTTAAGTGAAAATCTTCTTTATGTTTTGAAGGAAATAGATTTTGCAAGAAATTTGATCTTTGGAGATTTTTAGTAAATTTCATTAGTTCTTTTGAGATTATACAATTTTTATAAGCCCCAAAAATTCTTGTTAGTTTTAAATTGGAGGATTTCCTCTTTTGACAATTTCCTGAAAAGACCAAAAAATTACTGTTATTGGGCTGGAATGTTGACTCTTAAAGATTAAGTAAAAATGGAAGAAAAAGAAAATTAAAATGGATTACAATCTCTGATAACCACTACCGCTAAACTCACAACAGCCCATAACACCTATCACATACAAACTCCACCATTCCCTTCTGTTTCCCGTCATTCATACTCTCCCCACTTCTCCTCTCCTCTTCAAAACCCTTGCTTCCGTCGTCCTTTCCCGCTCTCTATTGCGTATGAAGACTCAACCCTTTACAATTCGCCTCTCATTTAGGCTCCACTGGAGAATCAAAGCTAGCCCTCACTGTTCTTTACTCTCGGTGCCATACAAAATCAAAATCTCTTCCCTTCCTCAGCGCCGCATACAACGGCAAGCTCGTTGTGTAAAACATGTTTGAAACTTCCAACTCCTTTACTGTCCGCCTCTTCCCTGGTCGAAATCGTACGAAACCTTTTGATCTTTGCACCGGAGTGGCCACATCCCTGTGCTCAAGCCCTCATTTTCCTCTTACTCGAGCCCTTCCCTTCCACACCGCCGCCAACTCAAACTGCCGAAACCTACTCGAGCCCCTTTGCCGTAATTCAAAATCGAAGCTCTTGATCCCATCCTTCTCCTCATACATTTGAAGTTTTCTTCTTTCATTCAAACAAGCACTTATGCAACTCACTTTGGACCCGAGCCCGACCTATCAACCCCCTACCTTCCTCTCCAAGCTACTAAACAACCCCTCTATTTCTGTATGTTTTTTTTTTTAGTTTCAAAATTAGAAAAGACAAAAAATACTTTTTTTTTTTATTTACTTTGCTGACCACTGCCCGTCAACTTTGGCAATTTCAATCGAAAATGTATATATTTACTTTGCTGACCCGTCAACTTTGGCAATTTCAATCGAAAATGTATAAGAAGGGGCAGGAGGATTTTTTTCTTAAAAATAGTTATTAAAAAAAACTCAAGTACTTGTCCATGGAACTAAGTATCGTTTAGGAAAAATTGTGCACTCTTTTGGGGAAATTTCATAAAAATTGAGAAATTTAAGTACTCAATTTGGGAAAACCGAGAACTTGTCTGGAAAATTAAGTATTGATCATGGAAAGTTAGGTGCATATTCAGGAAAAAACATATTTGTACTTGGCTTTTTGCAGGTAAACTTAAGGCCTACTTTGTCTTATAGATCATGGTTTAAAATACATTTCCTTGCTTTCCGGCCGTTATGTCTCACGACACTAATCAGTGCGTCTTATAAATAGTTGGACAGAATGAATTCCTCCCATATGCCCCTAAACAGGGGACTCGGGGTAGTGGCTGGGAGGCTGCTAAAATTTTATGTGAATTTTGAGGAGTTGATTGTGGATCTCGGTGCAGTGTCAAGGGTTTTGTAGAAGGTGGGTTCTAGGCTATTAGCAGCTTGACCTTGAAGGAGAGTTTGCTTGGTCACTGGGTGCTGGATAGGAAAACCAGGCACATCAAAGGAGATGAGACTTTTATCGTCTTTCGCTAATTGATGAATAGAGATTAGATTGTGAGATATAGAAGATACACTATGGAGAGTGGAGAGAGTGAGCTTACGCTTGTGGGTGGGTAGAATGAGACTGTCAATATGCATGATTTGAGCAGATTGTTCATTCCAAACAGTTACTTGCTTTGCACCGAAGGTGTGGTGTATTGAAGATTCTTCTAATGTGTGATATGAGAGGAGGCTCCTGAATCCAAAACCTATTCTTGCACGGGCTGTTGGGTGGCAGAGCACAAGACATTGTTGTGAGAAGTAGGAGTTGTCAGCTTGGATTGTAGGTTTGATCCATGCCAACAGTTAAGAATTGAATGAACATCCTTGGGACATATTTGGTAGGTGATGGAGCTGCGGTCTCTAATGATGTTTGGAGATTGATTTGCAATTTAATTGAATTATTGGGGAACTATGGCCAATGAGATAAAAATTTGGCTGAGATTCTCTGCTTCGAGTGGAGGCAAGAGCTATGTGAGAGTTTTGTTTTGTGGATTATGTAGTTAGATTGATTTCCTCACTAATGGGCTTCACAGTTGGGTCTAATAGTTTTTTTAAATGCTTGGTAGTTGGATGTGAAACTCAACTGCTACCATGTTTTTAACAAGGTATTTGAGATTGGAGAGGAACTGGATCATTGTGTACTGATACTGATAAATATATTATGAAGTTCGTTTTTGAGTTGTGTTACCCTCTACTAATTATGTGGGTTGAGAGAACATTTATAATACTTCCGCCATATATGATTATTACATACATTTTCTCCTCACGCAAAACATATATGATTAAAATATTATTCATTCTCCAATCTTATTTCTCATTCTTAACCATATGACGTCTCATCACATTGATGTGATGGTCATCTACAAAGCCTAATTCCTCAATAGAAAATTAGATGTCTTCAAAAAAATACTTGATCTTCTTCTACGGAATCCTCAATTTTTTTTCTAATAATATATTTGAATTTTGCATAGATTTTCGATATGACTTTTTTTATGACCTTTAAAATAGATTATATCCCCAATTTTCTTAAAGTTAATTTCAGTGGGAACATTAGGCATATGGGTTACACCAAGGGTGGATTGGGTCTAACAGTATTCCTGTGGGTTGAAGTGGGAAGGGCTTGATTTTTAGATCTTAAAATAAAAGCAAATTTTTTTCTAATTATTAGCCAATAAGGCATAATGGAAAAAGCTTCTTAAAAGTTTTGAGTTAAATAATGACCACTTTTCAAATGCAACCCCACATCCAATAACAAATTTATTGATTAGTTTCCAATCTTTACCAATATAATTATTTTTAGAAACTACGTCCTTTAAAGTATTTAAATATCCAATCATAGAAAGGCTATGCTATCTTGAAGTTAGAAATGGATCATGCAAATTTCTTATCATAGTGCCCAGGACAATAATTAGTTTTAAGCATTTTATTCATCCTCTACTCAGGTTAGGTTGCTCTTATCAAATTTTTGCTCATTAGCTAAAGTATTTATCCAGTAATTTTTTAATATACCCAACCAATTTTATTTTGGCAAAAGTTACCCTTTAATAGTCAGCCATTTCATCAAATCAAAGAATTCATTTATCCAAACAAAATAATTTAAAAAATTATTTGGGTCATGATGTCACTATTGTCCCTACAAATGTCCCAAGGTCATATTATGGTGTACTACTTAGTTTGGCTTGGTCTTATGGTAATATTTATTCTTATGAGCCTACAAAAACTCATCTTATCCAGCTTTTCTTTTATTTTATTTTTTTTAACGTTTACAAGGGGGTGTGTTATTTGAATTCTTTGAATGATGAAGACATTTGTTTATTGCAGCTCTTGCATCATGGCTCTTTCTAAACCCATGGTTTACTTCATTTTCAATGTCTTTAGATAGCTGAAAGTTGTAACAATACACATTCTCAACCGCCCATTGATTGCCTTCTCTTTCGTGGAATCTATCTTGAAGAATGCCTTCCGGTAAATCAGTACAATTGGTAGCATTTTGTTGAAGAATGACATCCAGTAATTTTTTAATATACCCAACCAATTTTATTTTGGCAAAAGTTACCCTTTAATAGTCAGTCATTTCATCAAATCAAAGAATTCATTTATCCAAACAAAATAATTTAAAAAATTATTTGGGTCATGATGTCATTATTGTCCAAACAAAATAATTTAAAAGGTTATAAGGGGGTGCTCCAATTTAATTCTCTAAAAGCGATAATTAAAACCATCTAATATTCTAATGATGATCGTCTTTCCCTTCCTTTAAATAGGTGATCTCTTAATGGTGCTATTCTTCCTCTCTATCTATATAAGATTTTTCTTTTCATATACATTATGGATGAATGTAGGAGGTGGGGAAAATTTTTTATTATTTTGAAGTTGATTCATTGGGGCTTGCAATTTTCTTTTAAGTACTTATATTTGAGTTATTGGGAACTATTATTTTCAAATATTTCTTGGTTATTATATCATTATTATGAATCATAACGTCTAAAGCAGCTATTAATCGAGTCAAGGGTTTCAATTAGGTCTTGGGGGATTGATTTTGTTATCATGAGATAAATTTAAAATTATAAAGAGACAGATGAGAGAAAAAAAGGCTATAGATGAGAAAGAATAAATAAAATAAAAATACAAAAAAAAGTGAACTCCAGGATTACAAAATATTTCTAGATAAGAGGAATATAAAATTCTCTTAAACTTGAAACTCTCCTTAAGAAATTTAGACGATTATGGATATATTCATACACGTACCATTTTAAAACAAGAAAAAAATGCATATATATTAAGCCTTAGTCCTTATGATT